CAAACCACATTCCCAAGAGTCTAAAATACATTTCTACCTAATACAAAACCTATAATGTAAGTGAATCAAGAATATATTATCCTAATTGACAATATCATAAACTAAATACATATATCAAAATAAAATGAGAAAGGCCTAGAGAAGTGATTATTATCACTTAGCCTAATGCTCCTTTCCTCTGTTTTTTTCAAATGAGCTAGCTCCTGTAATATGTTAAAAGAGAGGGGTGAGTACAATTACTCAATAACCAAAGTACATATAAGTTATATAAATGCATGATAATTAATCATCAATGCAAGTGGCTAATAAATTCATCAAGGTGACCATGTAAACAATCATATCAAGAACACATTAATCACATTAACATCTAACTTATTTGAATAATCTCAAGAATAAAGTTGAGTAAAAATTAGCATGATTTCTCACAAGTACTAAATATTCATACAAAATTGGCATAAAGGCCACATATACATTATTCACATATTTATCACATGTTCTCATTTCCATAATTACAATTATATTCTCAAATATAGCAATCAATTACTCAAATGGTATGATAATAATAATATGCGTGATCAATCTTTTCCTTATATCTCCCCTTATTTCCTTTGATATGAAATCTGCGGGCCAATAACCAGAAGAGATCGTCTATGTAGTGAGACTACCCAAGGCCTTAATCATAGCATGAGGGGCTATTGAGCCAGGATTACCTTACTCATTTTTGAACATAGTATCCCTTGAATCACACACTATGAGGTGTCATACCCAAAACTAACTCTATCTAAAACTCTAGGTAAGCCAATAAGGTTAAGTTCTTTAACATGAACAATGCTACAGTACCCTACAAGGTAAGTAGTGGCTCTAACCCCTAAGATTATCGGTTAATAGCCAAGTACCATATGGATTTTGCACAACCTCTAACTCTTTCACTAAGACAAACTTCTGTCATATAATCATGCCCATGAGAAAATGCATTTCAAAAACTCATATATATAATTTACAATTATTCCACATACTCATCAACTTTTTTACTCAACAAGCATAAAAAATTATCATATTCCAATCGCGCCTCTTGTATTAATTTTTTATATTACCACATAAATCACATTAACATCATATAAAACTCAACATGCTCATGTACAATTCATCACTATGCATCATCCATAATTTATAATCAAGAGTATGCCCATCATTACCAACCATCAATCTCATTACTCACATCAAGTTACAATTAACTTGATCACCCATTATAGGGTCTCAACAAAACCACATATGCATTACAAACAACAATGTCAAAATTTAGAGAGATATATATATATATATATATTCATTTGTTTCACAAATATAAATAATTAATTAACACACAAATGCATAAAATAGATTTTCTTTGGTTACCATAATCTTTGAGAGATCAAAGGTTACCCCTAAAATTACAACACTTTCAAAACTTTTTAAAGCTTGATCAGTACCAAAAAAATTAATCTACAATTAATCATATCTCAGTATGTTATTAACATAATTTTCACTTACATTCCAATACTTAAATATTTATTTTATTTTATTTCACTCTTTTAATACCTTAGTCTTAATCTCTTGAGTTCTAAAATTTAATTTTGTATATTTAAACCTATCTACTTGGTTCAATAGCCTCCTTCACAATAATTTTATTGAAGTTTGGCTAAAAACATTATTCAAATAATTTTCTAATATCACAATGTCCCCTTTTATTCAAAAAATTCGCATATAAAAATACTCAAAAATTACAAACTTAATCTCAAACCTAGAATCATTGTTTGATAGCCATAATAATTTACTTTTCATCCCAAATAATCATCTAAATATTAATAAATTAATTTATATTTTTAAATTTAATTAAAAATTTACTCATAGAGATCTAGGGATAAACTCAAAGGCCTCAAATTCCAATTCTATTAACAAAATAATATTCTAAAATATTTATTACACTACCACCAACCTCAATAACTAGATTTACTCATTAAAAATACATTCCTCTTTCAAACCCTAAGTTTTTCAAAATCTCAATTTACAACTCAAGGCAAAAAAAATGACTAAAAAAATATTTAGAACACGTATCTAGTCTTAAATATTTAAAATCTCATATGAAGTATCTTATTATGAAACCCTATCTTCTACTTCACCTTGGTCACAAGCATCATGCTCGCTGTCTCTATTTTTGCTCTCTTTATTGCATAAGAAATGAAGGAAGAAGGAAGGAAAATGAAGAAAAGAATCAGGTGTATTACTTTAAAAAAAATCTATGGGTCCCAGGTGAGAGAATTCACACCTCTCCCTTTTGTTTTATTTAATACACACACCTAACATAAGAAACCTATCCACCCCTTCTTCATTCGTTTTTTTTTATTTTAATCCTTTTCATCCATTCTTCTTCTTTATTTCTTTTTCTTCTTGTTTTTTTAATAATATCACACACTACACACACAAGCACAAACGCCCATTTCCTATCTATTTCTCTTGTTTTTTTCTTTTATATAATAATAATTTTTATTTCTAAAAAAATTATAACTTAGGATTTAAATTTATTCTAAATTAAATTCAATAATAATCTCCTAACAAAAATTATTTATCTCTAAATATTTTTCTAAAATTACTCACTTTTCTTGATTAACTTAATTAATTTTAGGTTAAATTTTTAAAATGTTACACATGTTATCAGAGCACCAAAAACTTGTATTGATGCCATTTGTAGGATCAAATGTGACTATTTTATCAAAAGCTTTAGTTTTTAGTCATGGTGCAATTATATTTTCTTGATATTATGCTTAGTACTTAGCAAGGAAAAAAATTGGGGGAAAAGAAAAGTATGAGAAAAAAGTGACGGGAAAATTCTAATTTTTCTCGCTTCACTAAGAAAAGAAAAATAAAAGGGAGAGGAAATTGGGGGAAATAATATTTGAGATTTATATGTTCCCCCCAACTTTTCTAGTTGAAAATGGAGAGATTTTGGAGAGAAAAATATCATTTCAAATTTATCATTTAATTTTTTAATTTATTTTCTTCCAGTCTCCTATTTTTGTTTGAATTCTCCTTCATTATTTAGTTAGCTTATTGTATTCAACAAATCCCAATGCTCTAGGAAATCAATTTTGTCTTGGTCCCAAGGCATATCTCTACCCTCTTTTTTCATTTTTCATGGTGTTTCTTATTTGTATTTATTTGTATTTTAAAATTTTTAGATAATAATATATTTAATAATTTTAGAAATAAAATTTAAAATTAGATAAAATAATTTTAAATTATATTTTTATTCCATTAGTAATATATAAAGGAAATTATATAAATAATATGGTATAATATTAAGTTTTATAATGGGGATAATCTTAGTATAAGACCGATGAATTAAATTGAGATTATGTTTTATAGAAAAATGACTAAAATACCTTTCAATTTATTTTTGAAAAATAACATCTATCCGTCGTTGGTGGCAGTCACGTACAACCAAATGGGTCCTAAGAAATTCGTGAATACTAACTAAATTATAATTGAGAAGAACAAAGTTATACATTAATCAAACTTAATTTAATTAGTTAGCTAATACTACAATGAATTATCTTTTCTCATACTTTGTTCTATCAAGCTAAGTATGAATGGAATTGAAGTCCAGATTCTCTACAGTACATATCACCGGCCAAGTATTGATTAAATAACTCTTTTTATCAAATATACAAAAAACTAAGCTAATTAAACCTCCAATTTAGTGTCATGAAAAATTGATATTTATTAAAGTTTTGGTCGTTTAGACTGTGAATATCTAATAGCATATATTAATGGGCCCTAATCCCACAGTTGCGTTTCATTTTCAGAGAAGAGTGTACATCTAAATCATATAATTAAAGTACTTAAATGATTAAACCACATGAAAGCGCAAGGTCATAAATTAAATCATTCAAGTCGTTTTTATCTGCGTCACACACACATGTTAAACTCAAAATTTTCAATATCACTTCATTGTTTAATATTTTCTTAAGAACTCCAACTTTCAAAAACTATTCGTACTGGGATGGCTTTTCATTATTTTCCTCCTTCTTTTCCGTTTTGATGTGGTATCAATTTGGGCAATCAAATTGGCAAAGGTTTTAGGGAGAATGACAAGAAAAAAAAATACTTTGAAATACACAAATGATAAATAAATACTGTAGAATGTCATAATTTTCGTGGAATGTCTAAGGACTTGAATGACATTTTGAACTTTTTTTTTTAACAAAATGACATATTTGCGCCCAATTTAAAATTTAAAATAACAGCTAAAAAGTTAGTAACCATGAATCTAAATCATATAGTTAAAGTACTTAAATGATTAAACCACGTGAAAGCGCGAGGTCATAAATTAAATCATTCAAGTCGTTTTTATCTGCGTCACCACACATGTTAAACTCAAAATTTTCAATATCACTTCATTATTTAACATTTAGTTTTTTTTATTAAGAACCCCAACTTTTAAAAAGTATTTATACTGGTATGACTTTTCATTATTTTCCTCCTCCTTTTCCGGTTTTAATATGGTAACAATTTGGGCAATCAAATTGGACCAATTGCCCTAATCTCAAGTCGCACAATATTGATAAATTAACTTGACAAAGGTTTTAGGAAAAATGACAAAATAAAACATTACTCGAACTATGCAAATAAGTACAATAGAACGTAACCATTTAATTATAATCTCTAAGGACTTGTATGCCATGTATGACATTTTGACTTTTACAAAATGACATATTTATCTTTAATTAAAATTTAAAGTAAAAATAACTTTTAAAAAATTAGTAACTACTTTTTGATTGAGAATGAGTTATTTGCTATTTGCTCATTCTAGAAATATTTTTTGTCATTCTCTTAAGGTTATATATATATATATAATTCCAGTAATTTATATTTACTTTTTTATTTCATCTAATTATTTTTAAAAAATTTAAAATTTTATCCAAAAGGAAGGGGCAAAAAAGAAAAATTAATAAACACTCGTGTAGACAATCAACTATCACACTTCATTAATAATTTTATATAAGAAGACAATTCGATTAAAGACCAGTACATAATATAATAATACCAGCACTTCATGATCACCTTCTTCACCATAGAATCAAAAGGTTTCCCAGCTATAGCTAGAAATACATATAAGTACAACCCTAGCTCACAAAAACCACCGACGTTATCTGACTTTAGGTACTCTGAGACAAAAAAAAAAAAAGGTAGGTGGATCGAAATGAAAGAATATTCTCTCTCATTTCTTATATCACACCACTTCACATGCAATTTTTTAAATTGATGATTAGTTAAGTCTGAAAATTGACCGATGATCGGTAAGTCTGACCAGGGGTCCAACCGGCGGGGATGACGTTATTGAGCACCAGAGTGCGGCCGGACTCGACGGTGGTGAGCCGCAGAGAGAAGGGGGGTTTGAGTGGCCCGCCGGCGTCGAGCTTCCAGACGGCACCCCACGACTGTTGCATCGGCTTCCACGTGGCAGAATCTGTTGCCTCCTTGAGTTCCACCTTGGCTAGGTCTCCGTCTCCGTCCTCGTACTCTATCAAGCATGCGAAGTAGTTGGCGTTCGAACCCGAGTCCACGTGGAAGGCCAGTGACGTGCCACGATAGTTGCATTTAACTCTAGAGGTAAAATTAAAAATTCCAACTTCAACTTCAATTTCAAGTGTTGAAAATGCTAATTTGGAATAATAGACGAAAATAAAGTCATGAAAGTTGAGAGACATCGTGGAAAAATTAGTATTAATCGTCGTGATTTTTGCTTCTTATAATTTCTCATCTTTTCTTTATCACACACACAATAGTCAAGTCACCCCTGAGTTTTAATTCGTTGGAGTTTACTGTATTATTCTCTCATTGTTGAGTTGACCCACATGTATAATAGGGAAGAAGCAAGGACCTATATTTTTTTTTCTTTTTCTTTTCGGAAAAATGTTTAATTGAAGTACACATCTGATCGACGTTAAAGTCGAGTTTGGATAATTATTTTCGTAGCAATTAATCTCAAAAATAAGAAACGAGGATCAGATGTTTTATGTGTTTATATATTAGTTGTGAATTTAAAGAAACGGTTGGTATGAAATTTTAGTTAAGTTCATTTAGTTGCATTAAATTATTATATTTTTAACCGTTTTATTGTGCAACCCACATGTAAAATAGGGAAGAAACGAGAACCTATATTTTTTTTTTCTTTGGTTTTTTTTTTCCTTCTTTTTTTGGAAACAGGTTTAATTACCTTCGGTGTTGAATCTGCAAAATCCCAGCATCGCGTAACTTCTGAGCCTGACCGGAAACAGCCATGGCGCCGAAGGCCGTGCCGCTCAAATCGAAGTGAACTTTGTCGGCTCCGCCGCAGCCAGGGCACTCGTCGGTGATCACCACCTCCACCGGGCTGCCGGAGCACGCTGAATTCTCAGTGCACTTCACCTACAAACTCATCATCATAACGAAATTAATCAATCATCAACCAAATGCCAAGCATGTGAACGTCCTCGTTTGACACAATCCAGAAACAGCTTCAATTATTATTGACTCGCACCTCATAACAAGCTCCACAGCCTTTGCCTGATTCATACAGAGAAGGCCCTCCAGCTGATATCATCGAAGAAAATGGAGGCTGCTCCACAGCACCACCATATCCACATGCACCCCCTACACGATCATGACGACGATTCATGAGTTATAAACAGTACAATTCATTCTTTGTTGTCTATTTTGTTACTATAGATTTTGTTATATCATGTTGTCATCATACATGAATATATATTGTAACACATAATATGGAAAAGCTTATATATATTAGGTTACCATCACTTCCGGCGCCGGTGGGGCTGCCATACCAAGTGGCCTCGGCCGGAGACCAGTCTGAACCAGAAGGAGAGTAAGAAGATGCATTAAGGAACTTTCTAGGAATGATGGAGCAAGATGAAGGAGTGGCCAGAAAAATGGAGAAGAAAACAGAGAGAGAGAACAAGAAAGCAGGGATGAATGCATATTGTTGAAATTGGAAAGTGAGAGCCATGATAGTGTTTGTGTTTGAGAGTTAAATCTCAGAGTGTGATTTTAATGGCTTGAGTAATATAGGGTGTGACTAAGTGGCTATTTATAGAGGAAAAAATGAGAGCGAGGGAGGTGAGAAGTTCGTAATTTTGCCTAATAGTAATTAATATTAAATTTATTCACACATGGGTACGTGGAGAATTTAATTAACCCCAAGGGAGAAGATGAGGGATATTTGTCTCACTTTCTTTGAGAAAATGACAAACTATATGTTTGAAATCCGTGCTCAATTAATGCCCTTTTATGCTCCATAATTTCTAGCTCCCTTGTTTAATTTGACTACTATACTTTAATCCTTGTAACTTTTTTTTTTAATAATTTCACAATGGTATTTCTATTGCAGGAGATTGTATTCAAAAAACAGTTAAAAATTAAATATAAATATATTTATTAGCGAGAATCCAAACTTTAGTTTGTTCACATTGTGAGAAAACTAGCTCCTTCTTCATTAAATTCAATCTCATTGGTTAGTTCTTGTAATTTTAATTAATTTATAAAAAACTATTTATTCCAAATTATTATTTTTTTGTTTGATTAAGGTTATTTTACTCATTCTATCAAAGCTCAAAGTGATCAACCAACAACCGCCGTTGGATTAAGAGGTAAAAAATTCAACACCCCTCATCTATGTTATCAAATTTAATTTGAATTTTATTAATTAGAAAAGAAATATAATGCTTGGAGAGCTCTCAACCTAAACTTCAATCTAGATTAATTGATAGCATTAGTTATTTCAGATTATTTGTTGAAAGAAGAAAGAAATAAACTGAAACCATATTAATCCTGAGGAGAGTAAGAAGCATGGATTTATTCATTTAGTTTATCTCATTATAATATAAAAACTCTAACAAGTTGTATTTTATTTATAATCATGTATGATGCCACTCATTTTTCAACATTATATATACCTGATCTATACTATTTCCTTTTATTAAAAAAATCGGTAATAATTCTTTTGAATAAAAGAGTGGCAATATTGAATTTGATTATTTCAAGCTCATGCTTTCTCTTTCATAGTTAAAACAAGGGCATCATAATTAAAACCATAACAGATCTCATGAAAAGAAAATATTTTATAGATGTCTATGACTTGTTGACCTCCATGATTCAATAAACCTATAATTATGATTTTCATAAATTATCTTTCCTTAATTGACATTCATGAATCCAAGTTAATTATTACAGGAAACATTCACATGTACTATACTATCAAATATATCATGAATTTTTTTACTTTAGAAAATTGACATCATAAACTCATGTGTTATTCGTATTTAATGATTGGATGTTTATAAATAAAAGCTTACCTCAAAGTGTTTGTTCGTCCTCCCTCTTCTCAGGGTTTACCCGCCAGGTTTCTCTGATGGTGTGGAGTGTGGGATTCTCTAGAACCCATTTACTCAAGACAAGGTATGCTGGTAGTATAGTCATCCCAACGCCCTTCTAATGATTGAATTCTTAGGGATTTGACTTAATGCGCACCCCTAAGGTTTGATCTCATATACTCTCCTACCAACGTACCTTGTCCGAGTAAAATGAGCTCAAGAGAGTCTCACTTTCTGCCCCACCAAGGAAACCTGAGGGTAAACTCTTAAAAGAGGAAGGGTGAACAGTCTTGTACACATATGTGAGTTAGAGCAAAATAAGAAAACTCTTCCATTTCTTCTCTCTAAAATTTTCATTTGCTTTGTTTATACATTTCTGTTAATTTCCTAATCATACACTTTTAAATATATAATACCTTCATCCCAATTTATAAGATACTTTAGACAAAATCACATATACCAATAAAATTCATTAAATTATTTTTATAACTTTATTTTTTTAAAATAAAACTATAAAATTTTAAAAATATACTTCATTTAACAGTAACATTCTACTTGAGAAAAAATATTAAAGAAAGATAATATATAAGAAGAATAATATTAAAAAAATAAGTAACAAAAATTTATTTTTATCAAAGTATTTTATATTTTAAAATATTAAATTTTTTATAAATTGAGACCCATTGAGTATTTGTTGATTTCAAATATCTTCCTCGGCCACTGCTCTTTAAATGTGTAACAAAGAAAGAGGATTCTAAATTTTAAAAATCTAATTGAATCTCGCAGATTCACGGGACATTTATTAGTTGCCTAGTCTTTGCCAACTATCGAACTTGTCTCTGTGTGTGTGTGTGTGTGTGTGTGTGTGTGTGTGTGTGTGTTGGTTGCCCATCTGATCTTATGTTCACTTCTTTCTCCTCGACCGTCCATAATTTAATTTCATTGCTATATATAAATATATATATATATATATATTGCACCCTATTTATTTATTCATTTTTAATCTTTTAAATTATAATTAAAATAGTTTAAAGAAATTTGTTATTAATTCATGGACTTCGAGAAAATAATCCACTCGAACAAGATGAATATGATATAAATAGGGGTGGAGTCAAAAAATTTTATTTAGAAGGCTGAAATAACAAAGCATATATAATAATTGAAATAAAATTAAATATATATTTATATATATCACTAACATAATAACATAAATATTTTAACCTATATATTTATATTTAATTATATACATAACAAAGATAAATATATATCTTCATTTTTAAAATTTTTCTCATTAATTTTTTATGGCATATGAATAATTAATTATCATGTTTACTATAAAAATTTTTTTAAAAAAATTTCTCAATGTAAACTGTCATTAAATTGGTGAATATTTTATATTTTTCATAAACATTGAATAATTTAAATGCATCCTTAGAATTTGAAGTTTATTTCAATAAAAAAATATATTATGTGTTTATTAAATTTACTATTTAATTTTTTTAATTGATATGTTCTTCATTCAATATATTTTGAGATTTTGTAGCAATGCTTTATAAAATTTATTTCAATAATTCTCATAATTTCTTTCATCAAATATAAAATGAAAATTAAATCAAATGATATCATTGCTTTAAGAGTAACTGCAGCATTATCTTATTAAAAATAAGTAAATCTTATAACAATTTTATTAAGTTACTACAACAGTTAGACTATACATGTATAAAAAAATTACTATAAAATTAAAATAAGAATTACATCTAGTGTCTCAACATTTTCATAATGTGCCAATTTAAGAAGTTAAAAATACATAACTCTTATATTTTATTAAAAACAAATTAAAAGTTAAGGGCCGTGGCCCTTGTTGATCTTCCTTGTCTCCATCCCTGGATATAAACATGTTGCTATATGCAACTAAATATGTAGGCCTAACATCAGTACAAACTCTTGCACAAGCCTTTTTAAATTTATTTTTACTCTTAATAATTTTGCACTCGCATGAGTTTGAAGAAAATTATTTCATTTAAACCTGACATGTTACATGATAATTAAGTTGCAGTAAAAATTTAACATTACACTGATTTAAATACTTTTTCTCTTCAATGATCGTTAATATGAGAAACTTTATCTTCTTCTTTTTTTTGGCAACATAAGATATTATTTTTCATCTAAAGATACTTAGCTTTGATATTCCTTAATTAACTAACCAACATCCTCCAATGAATATATTCGTTTCCATCATATAATTCATATATATGCATAATTAAGGTATTAATTTAATTAAGTCATTTTGTTATTGTGCTTTGTATCAAGTGCATAGGGTTAGGTCCCACTAGATTAACATGATTAATGTTAGTTTAAACAACGATTTTTAAATTTGTAATTCTAGGACATCCTCTCTGACACTTTCATCAGCTTCAGTCTCATTGACTATTAATCTAGTTAAATTTTCAACTCATCTCAAGGATCATGTGGTATTTTAATTCGAGCATTATATCTTTGATATTAACATTCTCTAACCATCAATAATTAATGGGTATTTTTTTTTTTGCCAAATATAATTAATGAGTATTTCAAATCACTATAATTAACCTAGGAGTGAATGATATACTATTTTGAGAATATTTTTCATTGGTCCTTGTTAATTGGGATACATTAAGGCATAGGAAACCACGTTATTAATAACAAGTTTTTTTTCTTTTTTTGCCAAATGGAAGTCACATTATTAATAAATTGTGAATAATAAAGGGTTAATGAACAAAACAAACGTTGAAGTATTGAGTGAAAAGTGCCATGAACTCTAAACTCTTAAAATATATAAAATGAACTTTAAACTTTTAAATTCATAATAAATTAAACTCTACCGTTAACTTTTTCTAATGCTGTTACTATTCATTTGTCAGTTAGTGCCACAGTTCTTAAACAATTATGCGAGTAATGTCTTGGACTTTAAACTTTAAAATTTTAAGTAAATTACCCATACCATTTATGTATAGAATGTTGACTATTATGTAAACCAAATTAGCCTAAACCTAGTCTGCTGTGGTGAATGCATCGTTAGCCGCGGCGAATGATCCATAATTTGTGAAATAACATTTTTATCTCTTTTTTGTAATATTTTTCAAATGATTGGTATTTCTTGTACACTCTATAACTCTAATTTAGTCTTATTTTAAATGATATTTATTTATTTAATAGTGAAAACTTAAGATCCCATTTGAAAAGAAGTTTTGGAGGATCTTATAGACGATGAATGTAAAAGCTGACAATTTCATCAACAAATTTAAAACCTAAATTAACTGATTAATTAAAATTCTTTAATATTTAAACTTCTTTTCTAATGGGATCCCAAATTTTAATCATTAAATAAATAAAAATTGTTCAAAATAAGATTAAATTAGAATTATAAAGTATATAAAAGTATGAAATACCAATTGTTTGGAAAACATTGCAAAAAATGTCATTTCACAAAATTATGAGTCATGTGCCACGGCCAATTATGTGTTCACCACGGCAAACCACACTGAGGTTAATTTAATCTATATAATAGTCAACATTCTATACATAAATAGAGGGAATAATTTGTTCAAAATTTTAAAATTCAATATCCATGACGCTATTCATGTAATAGTTTAAGGTCAGTAGCGCTAATTAACAAATGAACAGTACAACAT